AAAACATCTATTGAAATTAAAATGTCATATCATTTTACAAAACTCTTATCTCATGACTAAACAATATGAATATAACAAACTCTTATGCTAGAAAAATTGCTTTCTAAATGAAAAGAAATCTCTCTTTTTTAATACAAGGTTTCAGTGAGGAAGAAGAACAAACTCTCAAAAACTCTAAAAATAAAATGTTAATTACATGCAATTTTTAAAATATTATTATTACTCTAACAAGAAGAAAGCCAACTTCATTCTTCAGGCTCAATTGAAGTGTTTCAAATTATGTTGTGTATTCAATAATCTAATATAGACCTTCTCAAAATTTTAACTTATAATACCATTTTTTATTGCATTGTCAATATAAAAAGAAAATAAGAAATGGTAAGTCCATACAACATCATAAATGTCAAGTTCCAATTAACTTGATCAAGGCCACTTTGTTTTCAGGCCTGAATATGATTAAGCTAAATTAAGTAAAAACATTACTCTGTTCAATACTTCCTTATTCAGTTTGTGGACTTTTTAAATGAAAATATTCAACTGCCTACTACAATTTACAGAAAGACAATAAAAACAAACAAAATACTCAGATATAGGCAGCTTAACACAAATATGTGTTTTGTAACAATTAAAAAGTCATGCTGTTTAATTGGTTTGTGTTGAGAACTCCTAAATATAGGTAGAAAAGATGGGAAACATAAGTACATTCTATTGGAAGATGCTGTTTGGATTAAATTATTGTAAATATCCTTATCAAACTTCTGCTACATCAAAGGCACTTACATATTTGAGCACAAATTTTCTGTTCTGTACAAATAACATACCTTGTACCCCTGAGTTATAAGAATTATTTAGACAATATTTAAAAGCAATTAACATGAGGCTTGGTATACAGAAAATATTCAACAAAAGTTTGATTTAAAAACAAAAAACCTAATGCCCTCAAAGAAAAATTCTAAAGCTAAAATAAATAAACCAGTAAATTACCATATCGGCTTGACACAGTATACTATGCTAAGTATCCTCTGTAAAAAGATCTAAGAGAAACACAAGATGTGATTTGTGTCCCAGCAAGTTTAACTTAAAAATGGATTTCAAGTTGCCAGTTCTTTAACATTAGTCCCACAGGAGGGAAAATAAAAATAATAAAAGAAAATAAGATTAAAAGAACAAGCTAGATACCTATGTACAAATTATGGAAAGCCCATTGTGAGGTATTAAATTAATGTTATTTCCAAAGAGATTTTAAACAAAAATTTTAAAAAGAAGTTTCCATAGAAAACAAATAATAACAGAGTTGACACACACAAAAAAAAATACAAACAAACAATTCAAAAATGTCCAAAATACTGATTTTTACTTCTAGTAATAGCAAGTTAGATCAAAATTTGGACCAAAATTTTAAAGCATCTAAAAGAGGTGGATGAAAACAAATTTCAATTTCTTGAAAACTGTAGAACTAAGATACCAAGGAACCAAAATCTAGATAGCAAAAAGCCAGAGAGGTGAAGGTTACATTCACAGTTGTTTTTTCCCTGAGGACATCTGCCAGTTCGGATGGAAAGCTCATTTTGGTGGCCTTTATATCAGGAGAAACAAAACTGAAAGCCCTGGGCCTATAGGAGGTAGAAAGCTTGATAAACCATAAAGACAAATTAAGCTGAGACTCAAGGGTCTGTTTCTCCAGGGTTAAGGATAAATCAGTTCTTCGTGTTGTATACTCCAAAATGGTCCAGAACTTCAATCCCAAATTTAAGATTATACAAGTCCTGGATTGATAATACCCCAAACATGTTTTAAAAATATACAAAATTCTCTCTCATAGAACCTCCTAAGCCATATAATTAGTCCTATAAGCATATTTTAAACCTAATGACTAGCACCTAGTCATGAATGAGGAGCATGATAAACATTACTAACAGAAACAAACAGATTTCAGAAATGGAAATGCTCAATCTAAATGATATGTTTATCACATTAAAGAATTTTGGGGGGGAAGCAGTATGTAGTGGGGACTGAATCCAAGAGCACTCAACCACTGAGCCACATCCCCAGCCCTATTTTGCATTTTATTTAGAAACTGGGTCTCACTGAGTCACTCAGCACCTCACTTTTGCTGAGAACTCGAGATCCTCCTATCTCAACCTCTTGAGCCATTGGGATTATAGGCATGGCCACCAAGCTTGGCTACAGAAATTATAATCTAAAGCTTGAAAATAGTATCAGGGAAAAAATGAGCTATAAAGTGACACCACAATTTTAAAAAGAAGCAAACCAGTTCTAGAAAGTAAAAAGTAACTCAAATTATTGATTCAACTGGTGAGTTTAACAACAGATTAGAAGGTGTGAGTTATAGAACTGTATGCAGTATTCAAAAGGGATCTAGCTGAACAATAAAAATATAAATATTTCATGTATATAAATTATATACAATTTAAAAATTGTAAACTATTACAAAATTTTTTCAGTACCACTCAGAAAAATTTCTAATTAAGTATAAAAAATTCAACAGCTTCCTCTTAATTTTTATTTTTCTATTTACCAGCTTTTAGTACAAACTGAATCAAGTGATTTGATTCAAATAACTCATTTTCACTACAAAATCTACAAATTCCTAGAATTATCTTTTTGTTCCTAACACACATAAATCTTTCTCTTTTGTTTCTTTCAATTTATCTACAAACTAAGACCCTGTCTTTTGAACTATTTCCAAGAATGAAGAATTTCATGCTACTTTTACATATCAGAATTGGGACTTCTGTCCCTAGTTTAGAGGTTGACTGCTAACACTGCTCTTACTTTCACTTTATGAAGAAAGACTATGGGTCTCATTTTAGTTTTTTAAAAAAGTTAGTGTTCAATGTCTTTTGCAACTAGTAAGTATATGACCATGTAGCTTTCATGAAAATTATAAACTTTATGGCCAATTCTTTACTTGTGCTGTTTTTCTTGAAAGGTAATTTTTCTCAGCAAAAGAGTTGCTCAACAAAAGGGAATATGTCAACAGAATGAAAGTAAATTAATCTAAAGATGTTTTTCTCCCTCACATCTAAATAATGGTTCCCTAAAAAACTTCTGGCACATATTACATGAAACTAAATAAAAATAATATGATTTGTCTATATAATCCCACAAATTTCACTGTACTCTAGGATTTTTTCCCTTTTATATGGATGTATGTTATGCCTACCCCAGAATATTCATTAATACTATCTTTATAAAATCTGCAGCTTAAAAAGCACTATTTACCATGACTTATTTTCTTTTCTGGACAAGAAAGAAAACACAATTCAGTAACTGTATTGGTTCAAGCTTTGAACATTAAAGAAGACAAAGTAGCTGAAAGTTGACTTTTCAAGTTATTTCTCATATCTATTAAATACATAGCTTTCTTTCTTTAACCATGCTATAAAATTATCTATTTTAGTTGAGTACATACCAATCTAAATCTTGTGCTCTTTCAAGTTCATTAGCTTTTCTAGGGTTTTCAGCATTAACATTGCCTTACAGCATGATAGCTTTAAGGTTTTTAGTATGAGATACTAATCTTGTGTCATTTTAATTCAAATGTAATCTGTTTTACCAGATATATTCTATGTATCTTAAAGATGCCATCTAGTTCTTGAGAGGCCAAATAGTCTAAAACCTATGACATTGGCTTACTTAACTTCATATTAAGTATTTAGAAGATGGTATAAGTGAGAGGGCAAAGACCTGACTATCTATAATACTTTGGGGAAAATAGTAAAAGAAATTTTAAAATCTGAGATACATCAAGCAAAAACCAATTTTCCATTGAACCCAGAAAAGCAAGTCTTATGCCACTTCAAAAGGTATAAATCAAAACCACAACAGATTTGGAAGTGTACTTTAGCTAGTGAAGTACATGTCCCAATTTCAAGGTGCAAGTTACACCTAATTAGGGATATCTTTTTAAATTTTTTTAAAAAATATCTTTCAGTTATACATAGACACAATACCTTTATTTGTTTTACATGGACACAATACCTTTGTTTGTTTGTTTATGTGGTGCTGAGAATTGAATCCAGTGTCTTATAAGAACTAGGCATGAGCTCTACTCCCAAGTCATAACCCCAGCCCTAATTAGGGATATATTAAATGACAGAATAAAAATTTCTGTGAATTGATGTGTTAAAAATATGTAGATAGAATCTTTTTCAGTTCTTTGTAATCTTTATTTGTTTAAACATTGATTATCTACTGTATAAGTCTTGGCCTTTTTCATACTAAATCAGGGTTTCTCAATTTTGTCATTTTGGGATTGGTTATTCTTTGGAGGGCTGTCCCATACACTGCAGGATATTTAGCAGCCTATCTGACATCACCCACTGAACACAGTGGGTAATGTCTGTCAGGTATGAAAAGCAAAAATTGCCAAATGGACATTGCCAAATGGCCCCTGGGCAGCCAAAGACCACCCTTGAAATCACTCCAATTAGATCAAAATCGTTTTCATCTGGTAATTATCTAAAGATGTACAGTATTCATTTTTATTATTACAGATGTTTCAACAGATCCAAGATTATTTTCTATGTATCTAGACACTATTACATGTAAATTATTACCTAATTAATTGGTGAAGTCTTAGGCATATATAAACACTTTCAATATATTGTCAGTATTTGTGTAAAACTTGTTAAACAGAGAAAGTACTTAACAGGCTTTACTTCTATAACTTGATCATCATATTCTTTTGAGTGTATTAATAGAAAACTATTGTTTGATGTCAACTGGTCCTTCTCAGTCCAGATGTCTATAATATTCCTCTAAAAGTTAAAAGTTCAATTTTTATGATATCCCCTTCTCTTGGTACTCTTATATAATTGGAACTAGAAACTTATGACCTAATTTCATCCATCAACTATTTGGCCAAGTAAACAAACACTGTTTATGATTTTTAAAAATTCATACTATGAAGTGTTTAACAGGATGATAATGAAAAGTATCTTCAACATTTTTGAAACCAACAGTAAGGCTCTTACCTACAAGCTACATTTGGATCAGCATTTCTTGAAAGTAGCAGCTCTACACACTTCAAGATCTGTTCTTCAGAGCCACGAGCAGAACATGCAGTTATCAAAATAGTCTGCTTATCTACAATGAATAACAAAACAAGGAAATAACCTTATACTTTAGGAAGTATATCCTCATACTTTAGGAAGTATATCTAATTGACTTCCTTACCTTTAAAATATTCTATATGTTTATTGCACTCTAGAATTCTACAAACTCTTCCCAAATCTTATGCATAAGATTAATTCACCAAAACAAGAGATCAGGGATAAATCCCATTCATCCCCATTTAGTATATGCACAATGCATTTCTTAACTTCCTTCCTCTATTCCATTTCCTCAAGAGAATAGCAAGTGATGAGGCACATGACTGTGCCACACTGCCTGAATATGAACAGTTTTTGGTTGATTAAAATTTGCCTTCCTCAACTTATGACTGGAAAACGAGCTGTACTCTCTGGTTTCACTTCTTCTCACCCATTTGACAGTTCTTGAAATCTAGCTTATAACCTTCCTATTGAAACTGATACAACTGCCACATTTAATCTTTGTCTTCTTGATCTGTCTGAACTCACCTTGTTCCCTAAAACTGTTCTTCCCTTGGCTCCTATGGCATCAATGGGAAAGAGGATAGATTTAAAAAGAAAAAAAAAAAAAAACACTTCTCAATTAAGAACTCAGTAATTCAAAAAAGGTCACCATAGATATGGTTTATATTAGACATAGCATATGACACAGCATACAACATAGCATATGACAAGTTGTATAACAAAAGGATAATCAAAGGTAGTATCATCTTTCCTAGCTCTGCCACTGATAAACTGTGGGTCAAGTCATGTCTTAATATCTCATTAGATATAATTTATAAGTAAATTGAAATTAATACCTACAATCTTTATGTGTACATTCTGAGAAAAATAGAAAGTATCTTATAACTGTATGTATTCCTCTGATTACAAGGAAGAGAAGCAGAAAAAGAAGTTTTTGAGCAGAAAATTTTCTATGCTTTTAAAAATCTCAAGCTTAAGTATAGCTTTGAGTGGTATTTTTAACAACAAAATAAAAAACCTGATTAATCATGAAAATAAGAAAGATTTTTGTAAAATAAAGAAGAAACGACAGCTATAGTTTTACAAGTATCTAATGTACATACAAAAAAAAACTAATGTGAAAATCAATTCTAAAATAATTATGAAGTAAATTCAACGGCCTATTATAAACAAGTTAAGCCAGGTACAGTGGCAAATGTGTGTAATCCCAATGACCTGGAGGCTGAGGCAAGAGAATCTCAAGTTTGAGGCCAGCCTTGGCAAGGTGGTGAGACTTTGTCTCAAAATAAAAAACATAAAGGACTGGGATGTAACTCAGTGGTAGAGCACCCTGACTTTAATCACCAGGACTGCAAAACAAAACAACAACAAAAAAGTGATTTATTAAATAAATATAACAAACTATATTTGCATATATACTTTTTAAAATTTATTTTTAATTTTTATCTATTTATTTATTTAGGGAGGGGGCTGCTAAGGATTGAAGTCAGGGTCATTCAACCATGGAGCTACATCCCCAGCCCTATTCTGTATTTTATTTAGAGACAGGATTTTACTGAGTTGCTTAGCACCACACTGTTGCTGAGGCTGGCTCTGAACTCTCAATCCTCTTGTCTCAGCCTCCCAAGCCTCTAGGATTACAGTCATGCACCAAAGTGCCCAGTTGCATGTATACTTTTGTTCTTTAAGAGTATTCAAAGAACTACCAAGTGGGAATTATTTACTAAGAAAAACAGAAATAAATATATTAATAAACTACTTTTGAAACAACTTCAAGTGATATAATTCAAAGTTTATAATTTCATAAACTAATTTTCAGGTACTTTTCCAAAAAAATAGCAGTCTTTTGATTTTTTTCAATGTATTTTTTATTTAAAAATAGCCAAACCTTCTACTTCAGAAATTAGATGTACATACCTATATGTAATTTAAAAAATACATATCTGGAATCTATCTTCTTGGAAAGACTTTTTCAAAATGGATAGGTTTCTAATTTGACTTTGCATATTATTTAACCAATTCAACTAACAGAAAGATTTTTTCCCAAACTGCTTTAATTTATTCCCCCTTGCCTAATTGCTGCTTGGGATTCAAAGATTCATGGTAGACATAATCAGTTAAGTTATCTCAAACATCTTACCCTTATCAAAGCTTGCATTAGCACCTCTGTCCAAAAGGACCCGAACCATCTCTACATTGGCAACACTAGCAGCATACATCAAAGGAGTCCATCCATATCGAAAGCTGGAATCTACACTAATGCCTGTCAACACAAAAACAAGGTTTTGAAAGTCTCACCATAAAAAAACAAAACAATAGCAAGAAGACCCTCACTGTAATGTGTGTAACATATATATGCATGGAGAAATACACCATATAGTTTATTCTAGAAGAGGATTTCTTGGTAATAATGGTCCTAGAAAAATAGTAATATTGTGACTAATAAATTTGTTAACTTTAGTTTCACTATAGACGCTATATTCTAAGAGACCTGACCTGACCAATGTTTTATAAAATATAAATATAAAATAGTTTATAGTATAATAGGTTTTTCTATGCCACTTTTTTCTCTCTAGGGGAGTTGGGGAAGGTTTCAGGGAGGGAATATGTCTTTTAGATTAGAATATTATACTCGGGCAATATCCAAGATTGTGAATACCACAAATTTCCCTAAGACATCCTAACTTCCCCTTCAACACAAAACTTGCCCATAGGTAATCAGATAAAAAAAATGAAGTTAAAAAGATAGGTTACATTATGAAATCTCTTTTAGAAAATACAAACTATACTTTGTGAACAAGGGATTAACATCATTATATCGGTATTATAAAGACAACACAGATATATCACTGTTGAGAATGGCAGGATGCAGGGAGACCAACTTACAAACATCAAACTAAGCACAGGAGAGAGAGAGAGAGAGCAGGATGGGGTGGGGGGTTGTATAACTAAAGGATATTCAAAAGTAGTATCATCAGAATTTAACATTACTTTGAGAAGGTGAAAAAAAAGAACAAATTGAAAATTACTATCAGGTTCTACCTTAGAAAAATGAATAATAATCAATGAGCTAGAATTCTCTTCACAGATATCAGGCCTTAGGAGTAGGATAAAGTTTCAGAGTGGAATTAGGGATAGATACTAACCAGGACAAGAATCCGATGACCTTCAAATCTTTAAATACTTAATGATAAAAATCCTTGAAATTATATGATTTTCCTAATAATACTGATTGGTTTGGTTACATACACACTCAAAAAAAAAAAAAGAAAGAAGTGTTATAGGACTGGGGAAGAGCATAGAAGATGTAATATAAGGATAAAGTAATGAACACAATTCATTACATTTAGGTAAAACCTTTTTTATAAGGTCGTAGAGATTGATTGGCAATCTCTCTCTTCAACCTAAGTAGTATTTGCTAGTCTCAAGAAGGAAAACAACATTTTTATTTCAAAAAAGGAATACCTGTAGGTGGAAATACCACTGAATATGGACTTGGCTTTAACATTGTATAATTTACAGATTTTATAGTCTGTGGCTATAGATTATTCCACTTGCAAAGATGAAGGGACTATCACCAAGAAAATACAAACTTGGGGCAGGGATCACTTTTTTCTATTGAAACATTAACTCACTGAAACCATGTATCTCCAATTCCCAACTGTCTCACTTTAATTGGTATAATGTAAATGAAAAACACTGGGAGAAAATAATACTTAACCATCTTAGTACCTACATAAAATGCTATCCCAACTGGTCACCTTTAACAAATTTTCTTCTTCAAACTACAACTGAAAGCATATGATGAGTTCAGAAAAAAAATCATTGTTTTCTCATTCTTTTCTTATTGATAGTACTGCTTGAATTGTGATAGTAAATGTAGAAAAAGGAAAAGACATGAAACAAAAATAAATAATGCATTTTGGTATAAAAATCCTTATCAATCATCACCTCTAATATTTAAATTATTCAGTTCTAGGTATAGTGTTTAAAACAGGTATTTTAAAGGAATAACACAATATACTTATATAACTCAAAAACATTCAAAATAACACTACATTGTTTATGGATATATACATATATCATAAAAATATAAAAATTCATAGGAATAATACACCTCGACTGTAGGAAAAGTGGTCATCTGTGTGTGTGGGTGGAAGGGTGTTTCTATACCTTTCTTGAATATGTAAAATACTTCATGGAGAACTAAAAATGTTAGTAAATGCCTGTTACTTTTTTTTTTTTTTTTGTACTGGGGATTGAACCCAGAGGCACGTAACCGCTAAGCCACATCCCCAGCCCTTTCATATATTTTATTTAGAGACAGGGTCTCAATGAGTTGCTTAGGTCATTGCTAGGTTACTGAGGCTGGCTTTGAACTCATGATCCTTCTGCTTCAGCCTCCTGAGCCCCGGGGATTACAGGATTGTGCCATCTTGCCTAGCATGATTTCACTTTTAATTAAAGTTTTCCAATGGTATTGAAATATGTTTCAAAAAAATGAAATAAATTCAAAGGCAAAATAACAGAAATAGTTTTTAAAATGTTAAATAAGGAGAAGCAGGGTAAAATACCCCAAAACCAACAGTAATAGGGGTGAGAGTGGGGACAAAAAGGTATCTTTCTACCTTATACCTATATATTTTTTTTTAAATGTTTTCAGTTTTAATAATTAAAACCAAATTTCAAATGACTGACTAAAAACTTAGCGGTAGGCTCTTTCAATAGACTCAAAAACCCATATCTGCTACCAATCATATCCAGTCCTAATCCTCCAAGAGCCTCCATCACCTTCATTGTGCCTAGTCCCACAATTCCCAGGACAAATTTCCTTCTCTAAAAAAAAAAAATTTCTGCCTATTCTACTCCATCCAAAACTACAAACACCATACATATAGTCATATTAGTTATTCTGGTCTCTTTCTCCTTATTCAAATTTCATTCAAGTTCATTCTTCAAATAGAAACCCAAGTTCCACCATCTGTCCACCAAATCAAACATCTTTTTCATTTGCTAAGAATAATAACTAACATTTATATATTGTTTACATGTTCTATACCCTTAATTTACATGTTATCTTATTTTAATTATCTTTCCCCAACAACCCTTTTTTATAAATGCATTCTCATGGTTAGTAATCAAAGATGGATCTGACTTGTTTCCAAAAGGTTTTAATTTCTACAAAAACCATGTATCATCTCTAACACTGAATAAAAATATTTTGCTATATACAATCTCATCTATTTTGTGTGTGAATGTTTTGTAGCTATAACTAGATGGTAAATGCCTGCTATATCTTTGCATAATTTCAACCATTACAATCAACAATTTACATTTGTATGTGAAAGTAATTTTTAAAATATTTAATTCACAGGAGAGTATAATGGAACCCAGGACAGAATTCTGATGTTTTACATAAACAAACAGAAAGTTTAATTTTCCTAAGGAACTACAGTGAGTGGGCAATAAAACTGGAACAAATATCCAGGTTTAAATATTATTTTTTTAAGCTCAGACCTTATTCCACCGCAACAAAAATACAGAAGGAGGAAAAACCATAAAACTACAAAATATATAAATAGAAACAATTCTTGAGAAATGTAAATTACAGCCAAGTAAATGCTGAAAAACAAAAATCACTTCTTGAACGAAGTGGAAGAGCCGATGGAAGCTAATTAGGGTGGCACTCTCAATGTAAGGGCAAAGAAAATAAGGCAGACAGAACTCAAAAGAACAACTGATGTATTAACTATTGGTTGCTTTTTCGTTGGAAAGCAACACAAGCCTCCTGAAACCAGGAATGCTTGTGAACTTAGAAAACTGTGTTCAGCTGACTTTACCCCTTAACTCTCACCAGAATCTAGGAGTTCCTTCACTAAGGAAATATCTCCAGTGGTCAATGCTTTCTTAAACGTTTCATTCTTTTCTTCTATAGGCAACGGCCTTTTTAATTTCTAAAAAAAAAAAAAAGCACAAAATGAAACATCTTTTCATTTCCAGTACATCAGGAAATTGTAATGTCTGATGAGGTACACGGTATGTCAGGGTTTTGGTCGACATATAACATTAGCAGCGAAGACTCCATGTCTAAAACTATCTTTAGAGGGAATGAACAATGATAGGTCCAAACCCAAGCAAGAAGCTCCATCCACAAGACAAAGCAGTGCATCCGATGAAAACCACATTTGGGGAACAAAAGGAAAATGTGCGGGTTCGATTCGGTTCAAACTCCCCAATTTAGAAACACAGGTAAAAAGGGAAACACGGGCAAGGAAGTTAGTAAGTTTCCCCGGGCTGGGCCTAGCCTTCGAAAGCCAGGAGCCAACAACAGCTGCTGTCGACACAAGGTTTCCTCTGCTACCTGGGATGCCCGGTCGAGGTACCCAATCTCCCAGCCGTCATCCTCGCTATCGCTACTCTCGCCTCCGCCCGCCACGGCCAGGCCCCGGAAGGGGCCCGCAGCAGTGCCAGCCGCCATGCCCGCCTGGACGCTCTTCCGGCGCCTGCGCAGTGTGTGCGCACAGGGATGCGCGGGAAGCGTTGGGAAGGAGCCACGCGCGAGCGCCTTGGCCTCTGGGCGCAGGCGCATATCTGCGCGCAGACCACACTTCACCTTGGGGTCTCGAACTAAGGGAGAAAAGGGGTGGAGATGGGGGTGGCAACTCTTGGCGTGTCCGCCTGATCAGCCAGGCTGACAGGATCCAGACCAGAACTTCCAATTCCTTTCAGGAATTCTCCCGCCATTTCGTATTTGTTTGACAAAGTTTTTGCTGGGCGTGGAATGCCCAGTTGTGGTTGGAGCCAAAGACGACCAGGCTTTCCTGGTCGTTCGCCATCCTCTTCCTATCCCCCCAGCCAAACCTGCTGTTAAACGTGTATACCCTGGGAGAGGACTCGTGTTGTTGGTGCGCCACCCACGCTCAAGATGCCTTCAGACAAATGCCAGCCAACAAGGAGCCAGGAGAAAGTTGTTTTTTGTTTTTTTTTTTTTTTTTTTTTTGCGGTGGGGGAGGAGAGTACCAGGGATTGAACTCGGGGGCGCTCAGCCACTAAGCCAAGTCCCCAGGACTATTTTGTATTTTATTTAGAGAGAGGGTCTCACTGATTTGCTTAGTGCCTCACTTTTGCTGAGGCAGGCTTTGAACTCATGATCCTCCTGCCTCAGCCTCCTGAGCCCCTGGGATTACAAGCCTGTGCCGCTGCCGCCAAGCTTCAAAGAATTCTTTACACTTCACTTGATCTCAGATTTAGAAACTTTAGACCGTGAGAACACTTGGCTGCTGTGAAATATAGATGCCCCAGAGGAAAAAACAGCCATGAATGAAGAGTGTAGGGGAACAGTGGATCCAAAGAGCTGGAAAGAATGAAAAGATTTAAACAACTGGACAGGAAGTAAATAATTCAAATAACTTCAGGTGAAAGAAGCCCGAGGTCAAAAACTTTTCCATTTCTAACTTCTTGATGGAATGTTGATAACACATTGATTATCTTGCCACCACAGAAAAGTCGATTCTTCAGGGAATAGAGCACATTTATGCACCAAGGTTATTTAAAAGGAAAGTAGCCTTGCACCGGTCTTTAAAAAGTTCTAAGCAGTATATTTTTTTTCTTTTTGGATATTCTTTGTTACAAAATTTTGAAATTATTTACTTGAGGGATTCTCAAAGATAAGTAGTTTTAAGTAAGTTCTTTTGGGCTCACACTTGTCTTTCTAAATGCATTAATTCAGTACATGTTATGGATCACTAGATATAGCCAGGCACACCTAGGTTTGACTAGACAACATCAGACAAACCAAGCTCCCTCGTGGAGCTAACATTTTAATGAGAGACAGACAGTATGCAAATAAATTAGATTTCCAGATAGTAAGGGCCTTAAAGAAAATAAACTAGTGTTGCTCAGTTTCTGTAATCAAATTACTTAGATTGTTTCCTGGTGGAATCATTAGTTGTAGCTGTGAACCCTTGAGCAATTTACTTTGCTTCTGACTCAGTACCAGTTAACTTTTCTGTAAAATGGAGATGCTGATAATTTTCACCAAAAAGAATTGTTATGAAGATCAGATTAAGTAAATAGGCTTGGAATAGGGCCCATCTCAATGTAAGGTTAATAAATCCTAGCTGCTGCTGTTGTTGTTGTTGTTATTATTATTATTATAAGTTTAGATAGGGTAGTTAAGTTTGAAGAGGGTCCCAAATGACAAAGATTAGTTAGTCATAACAAACCAGAGAGTAGAGCTTGCCTGGCAGTAAAGATGTCTAGGCAAGTCTGTAAGGCAGGGAAAAGTTGAGATCCAGGTTTAGAAACATAGTGGATAAATAAGGGCCCAAAGGGCAAAGTTTAAGGATGTACTCACCAGTAAATGCAATGAGGGCCCCCTTAAACTTTGTATCTCGGGCACCCTAATCCTTGCCTTTCTTGGAGCTTCATGAAGGGAGAAGTGTGAGATGAGAGGACTTTGTGCGCCTTAAGTAAGGAGTTTGGGTTTTACTGTTGTTTTTTTTATTTATTTATTTTTTTATTATTTTTATTTTTATTGTTGGTTGTTCAAAACATTACATAGTTCTTGATATATCATCTTTCACACTTTGCTTCAAGTGGGTTATGAACTCCCATTTTTAGCCCATATACAGATTGCAGAATCACATCAATTACACATCCAATGATTTACATATTGCCATACTAGTGTCTGTTGTATTCTGCTACATTTCCTATCCTCTACTATCCCCCCTCCCCTCCCCTCCCCACCCCTCTTCTCTCTCTACCCCCTCTACTGACCTTCATTTCTCCCCCTTGTTTGGGTTTTACTGTTAAGAGCTATTTATAAATGAAACATTTTTAAGCTAATGAAAGATGTGTCCTGAAAATGTGTGTGTGTGTGTGTGTGTGTGTGTGTGTGTGAGAGAGAGAGAGAGAGAGAGAGAGAGAGAGAGAAAGAGAAAATTTAAAGACATTCTTTTTTATAGAGAAGTCTTTTGGTTTGAACAGCTGGATAAGTAGTGGTATCATTTACTATGATGAGGGAAGATAACAGAATAAACTTGAAAATATAATGAGCATCTCAAAATTAATTCAAAACCAGACAACCAAGGGTAATTGTCAGGTGGGTGTTTAGAGGTAAAGAGCTCAAGAGAGCCTGTCTTGCATATATGCATTTGGGAGTTATCCACATACAAGTATTTTTTTTAAACCTTGGGATTTATCCAGCAAGAGCTTTTGTAAATATAGATTACATTATCCTAGAACTTATATGGAAAGGTAAAGGAACTAGAATACTTAAAACAATTCTGAAGAAGAAGAATGAAGTAAGAGGAATTGCTGTACTTTATTTCGATATGTGTAGCTTTTGATTTAGGACTTTGTGATACAGATCAATGGAACAGAATGGAGAACCTAGAAATGGCACCATGCAATTACAGTATGGCTAATTGGACAAAGATGCAAGATCAATTTAATGGAGGAAGGATATAGTCATTTCAAAAAGTAGTGCTGGAGCAATTGAATATTCATAGGTTAAAAATGAAAAGAATATCAACATAACCTTCATGCCTTTTACAAAATTAACTCAAATTGATCATAAATCTACATGAATGTTAATAGAAACATTATTCATATTTTCCAAAAGCAGAAAACAACTCAAATATCCACTAATTGATGAATGGGTAATTAAAAGTTTTATATCCACATCATCTGTGTTTGTTCCCTATGGCCACTGATATAAATTACCATAAATGACATGGCTTATAACATCAGACATTTTTTTCTCTCACTGTTCTGGAAGGTAGAAGTCTGAAATCAAGGTGTCATCAGTGCCATGCTTCTTCTGAGGGCTCCGGAGAAAGATACTTACTTTCTTGTCTTTTTCTAGCTTCTGGTGATTGCTGGAGACCCTTGGCAGGCTTGTAGATGCATCACTTTAATTTCTGCTTCCCTTTTTACATGGCATTCTCTGTGTATCAAAAATTCCCTCTTATAAGAATACCAGTGATATTAGGGTATAGATTAGTGTATAGGATTTACCCTAATCTTTCATAACCACATCTTAACTTGATTACATCTGCAATGTCCCTATTTCCAAATGTCTCATTTATAGTTTCTAGGTGGACATGAACTTTTGGATGACACTATTCAATTCAATATACCATATATATCACTTAGCATAATGTTTCCAAGACCCATGTCATAATATATATCCATCTTATGCTGAATTATGTGTGGTATTAATTTCAGAGCATGATTTTATGAGGTAGCATGTCCAATTACAAGGTTATTATAATTGGGAAATAGAGCAATGGCAGGAAAACTGGAGAGGAGATGTTGCATTCAAAATTTATTGTGAATTATAATCAATAGGATTTGGTAATTAGATGTGAAGGCTGATGAGGAGAGAAGTTAAAGTAGATAATAAAATAACAAATAATAAAGAGGTGGCAAGAGCATGAATGTTTAAGGAACATTAATGTCCAGATAAATGTGGAGTTCCTCAGAGAGTCCTAGGCTGTTGGTTACACATAAGAAGTCATCTCCCTAAAAGGCAATGACATATTAAAGTGATGATTACCAAGAAAGAAAGAAGATGAGATTGGGGTCTGGGAATATATCCTTATGGGGATCTCTATTCCTTTAGGAAGCCACCAAAGGAAAGGGAGCAATACAAGGGGCTTAAGAAATAGTAATCAAATAAGCAGAAGATAAGGGAGAGATCAGTGCTTCAAAAATTTTGCACTGAATTATAACCCAAATAATATCAATAATAATGATAATATTCATATTATAGTGCTTCCTATATTTTAGTTAATATCCTAAGGGCTTTACCTATATTAACTTAGTTAACTTCACAGAATCCTATGGAAGTAAATGCTGTATCAATGTAACAGAAGGGGGGCTGGGGATATAGTTCAGTTGGGTAGAGTGTTTGTCTCCCATGTACAAGGCCATGGGTTCAATCCCTAGCCCTACCAAAAAAACAAAACAATGTAACAGAAGGGGAAATGAAGACACAGCAGGTTCAGTACTTTCATGTGTTCTAATGCTCCACTAAGCATTTTATATGCACTAATTCATATAATTTTCAGTATACTTTTTTCAGATGCCATTATCTCTCCATTTTACAGATAAGAGAACAGAAGTATAGAAAGGTTATGTAAACTGTCCAAGATCAGATAAGTAGGATAAACTGAATTTGTACAGGTTGTTTGGTTCTAGAGTTGTGCTCAGGTTTAACTTAGAAAGTGTAATGCCAGTGTAAGCACTCTGTCCTTTGGGGATACTTGTTTGTACCATTTTTTTGATTCCCACACTGTAGAGGGAAGCACTCCTTTCCAAAGATTTCATCTTCTTACTAGAAAACCAGACTCAGAATAAACTGTGATTCATTTACAGGTAAATCACAAGTTTTATTCCTGGCCAGATAAGACATGGATAATTTGGTTTTGTCTGAAAACATTTGGGAATTTCCCAAGTGTGACTTCCTGGAATGGGTCAGAAAACCACCTACCCACTACATTAA